TTTGCCATATCCTGAGGGCAAAGCCTCTTCCGGGCTTTCCGGTTTCTGGGGGTCTGCCCTCACCCTGTGCCCTGTTCCCCAGGGTGGTGGTTGCGGGCTCTTTTGCCTTCACCTACCCCGTCTAGCTATTTACCAGGTAGCCCACTCTTTCTTCGACTTGCCTCTGTTCTCCAACCTCCCCTGTCTTTCCCTGACACCATTCTAGCTCAGACTCTTGATCCTCATGCTGGGCTGGGGCGATAACCTCCAATGCCTAGCCCTGCTTCTCAAGGCTCTTCTTCCCCGAAGTCCATCCTGTTTACTGATTAATGATTTTGCACTGTCCAGCCCCTCCCAAACTCAGCGCCCTCACTGGCTCCTTCTGTCTGCAGGATAAAGTACAACTCCTCTGCCTGACAGTCATCAGGCCCCACCTCACCTGCCCAGCCCTCTCGGTTGTCCCCTGCTTCTCCACCAGCAACCTGGAATCCTGCCCGATTAAGCTCCTCAGCGTCCAGGGAACCTGCCTGCCCCTTCTGTCTGCATCCCCACCCCAGCAGCGCCCACTGCCTGCTCTCCACTCTCTGACATTCCCCCTGGGAACAAGGCAGTGCGCTGGACTACCAGACCCAGAATGGTCTCCCTACTTTGAAGATCCTTGGTGCTTCTATTTGCACATTCTGTCGTAAAGCAATGTGAGATTGATTTTTACTGTGTAAGGCAGGGTTTCTCAATCTCAGCACTGTCAACACTTTGGCCAAGGTAACTCCTTGTCATGGGGGACTTTCCTTTGTATTCAGGGCAGCATCCCTGGCATCTCCACTAGATGCCAGTGGCACCCTCTTCTTGTGGCCACTGAAGGTCTCTACTCATTGCCAGAATTTCCTTGGGGGACAAAATTGCCTCTGGTTGGCAACTGCTAGTGTAAGGGAACACTTGTACCACAGCTGCACTCTGAACGAGAGGTTCCTCGAGCTGCACGTAGCAGCTAGCTCCTGGCACGGACCCCAGAGTAGCTGCAAAGCCTCTCTGGACTCTCTGGCAGTTGTCATTCGCTCTGCAACCAGGCTGAACGTTGTCCAACGTGCACATGCCTATATTGTCTCCTGATCCACACTGACTACATCCTGTTGGTCAGAGAGTCTACTCGATGAAGTGTCAGTATCAGGAAGGAGCATGGGAAAAAACATTAAAGATACCATAGAGGGGGTGCCTGGGTGGCTTAGTCGGTTAAACGTCTGCCTTGGGCTCAGGTTGTGACCCTGGGGTCCTGGGATTGAGCCCCACATCGGGCTCCCTGCTCAGTGGGGAGGCTGCTTCTCCCTCTCCCTCTGCCCCTCCCCCCACGCTCATGCTCTCTCTCTCAAATGAATAAATAAAATCTTTAAAAAAAAATACCACAGAGTGGCGTCTGGGTAGCTCAGTCATTAAGCACCTGCCTTCGGCTCGGGTCATGTTCCCAGGGTCCTGGGATCGAGCCCCACGTTGGTCTCTCTGCTCAGCGGGAAGCCTGCTTCTCCCTCTCCCTCTCCCACTCCCCCTGCTTGTGTTCCCTCTCTCGCTGTCTTTCTCTCTCTCTCTGTCAAAATAAATAAATAAAATCTTAAAAAAAAGAAACATAACTTTATAAAAAAAAATACCGTAGAGACACAGACTCCTCTTCATCAATATCTAAGAGGTGGTTAATCATGCCATAAGAAAACAAAATAAAATACAGGTAGGAGCCGCATTTGCTAGAACAACGCTAGGATCATTTGGTTGTCATATAGGCGGCCAGGGAATAAACTGAGTGCCATTTTCTGCTCTGCACTTTCAAAAGCAATTCAATATAAGATCTGATTGGCCAACATTGTCAGAATACTTCTACAGGTTTGCCTATGTTTTAATGACCACCCCTCTAGAATGATGTACACCCTTTCCCAAAGAGGCTATTATGCAGGCCCCAAGGAGGATTCTTTGGGGCTTGGATCATACGGGCATCATCTTGAGTCCCTGGATGGCTCTAGGGTTTGAACAATGCTCCAGGCCAGTGTTCCCAACTTGCATGAGCTTTGAGGCTGGGATCTGTGGGAGGTCCAGCATGCAGCTTTGTCTCCCTGGCTAGCCTGCCATGCCCCTCATCTGGCCTCTTGGTTCCTTGAGGAGTTGCTCTTGTCCAAGGTCTTCACCATGATAGACACTCTCCAGGCTGGCCAGCTCAGGACCACCTCTTGTTAGCTGTCCTGGCCTCCTGCTGGGATGCTCATTTCTCCTTCCAGTTCCCTGGGGAGGGCCCCGACTCACCTCTCAGAAGCTGGGCTGCAGTGGGAGCATGAGAGAAGCAGGCAGAGGGGATGTTGTAATTGGTTTTCAGTAACTCCAGAACATCTGCTGTGTACCTGTAGAGACACCAGCCTATGTTCAGAACTTGCAGAATTGGGGAGGCGAGGGGGTGGGTACCAGAAGGAACACCAATTATCTGACATTCCCTCAAACACTCCTGAGTTCAGGGAGCTTGTACATTTCCCCTCGAGGCCCCGATTCTTAGAGGAAATGGCAAATGAGCCCAGACTAGTGTGTAAGACACGCGCCACTTAGGCTATAGGCAGGCTTGGCTTCAGTGCCCAAAGAGTCCACAGTTCTCTCTCTCCACTTCCACTGGGGCAGCAGGCCAGGCACTGACCAGAGAGAAAGAGCAGGGCCTCAGAGAAAGAGTGGGCCCTGAGCACCAGGGATGGGTCCACAGCAGGTTGGGGTTTTGTGCCGGCCCCTCACAGCCACCCCCTCTGAGATTTTTCTCTTCCCAGTTGAGGGGCAAAGCCAAGGCTCTGAAGGATCACACTCTGGCGCCCAGGACCTCAGGGCCAGCCAGACCATTATTCGTCTGCCTCGTTCTGTGTCCTGGGAGCCAAAGGCCCCAGGAGGGAGATATGGCCAGGCCAGTGTGATAGGGAACACCATTGCTCAGCAACTGGCTCTTGGCTCTGGGCCTGCCACTCTCACTCACCTGGGGTCAAGCTTTATCTGAGTCCTGTCTGGCTCCATCGTCTTCTCTCCCTCTCTGGTTTTCCCAGCAAGCACTGAGGGGCAAGGAGGGGCAGGCAGGTGGGGGCCCTGAGGGAGGTGGCTCCCGCTGGTCCTGCTGCCTGCCGGCCCTTGTCAGAGTGAGGACTGCGGCCACGTGTAGGGCCAATGGCAGGATCTTCTCCTCTGCCGCTGTCTTCTCGGGCTTCCTGTGCCCACAGATCCCTAGAGCTTATCTCAGAGTTTACCCCAGAGGAATTTGATCCTCTTGGCTGGCTGAGATCCCTGGCTCCTGACTCCTCCCTCTCCTAGGTGTGGTCCTTCCTCCCTCCCTCCTTCTCACCAATGCCTTTGGCCACCCTTTGCCACCTGCCAGCCCTCATGCTACATACCCTCTAATGAGTCTTCTAGGGTGGGGGTGGAATAAAGTTCTCTATCCTCCCCACAACACTACCAGTCAGCAAACCCCCGTCTCCCAGAACCTGGCTGGAACTTGATCTCTGGCCCCCTGGAGACGGGAGAGTCAAGGCCAGCTCCCTGACTGCGTCGGCACTTTGGTCTGGCGTGCAGAGGGGAGAACAAGCTGCAAAAACCAGAGGCGGCCCACGTGGGTTTCCCCAAATCTCAGCCTTCCTCATCCTGATGATGGGCTTACCCTGCCAAACAGCAGCCAAAGACCCAGCAAAGATGCACGGGTACCTAAGAGGCCGAGTCGCTGAGTGAGATTTCTGAGCATTTTGACAGATTCTGAAAAGCTGTGCCGAATTATATGTTTCTGAACTTTTTATTGATTAGTGATTTCTCTTCTCTCTCCAAGTAGATTTAAAGCCATTTGAGCCCAGGCATAGTACCCCTCGGTTCCTGGCACGGGGCCCAATACATACGGATTGAATGCGCTTTAGAAGTGGTCACATGACTGATAACTAGTGAAAGCTCGGCCACAGCAGCGGCAAATGTTTGTTGAGCATTTCTGGTGCCCCGGGTGCTGTAGGAAATGCAGTACGTTCCTTATCTCGTTGAAACTTTACAACTGCTCTTGGAAGGTAAGTACTGTCTTTATTCCCATTTTACAGAGGAAGAAACTGAGGCTCAGAGAAGTTCTGATGCCAGGTTGGACAGAAAGCCATGAGAGTGTAGAGTGAAGGAAAAAGGGACCTAGGCCAGGAGCTCTGTTGACGTTCAGGTAAGAATTCTGAAAGTAAGAAAAGGGCCCAGGAGAGGGGCAAGAGAGTGGATTCTGGGATGGTGAGGAGCTACAATCAGAGGCAGCAGTTACTGGTGGGTACCAAGAGGACTCTCTGCTGCTGTCCCCGTACACCTCAAATGTCTCCCAAGGGTTGAGCATGGTTCTGTCCCTCTGGGTTACCCTCCTCCTAAAGTACAACTCTCAGGACAGGTCAGTGTAGGGGTCCAGGAGTCTCAGGGACCCAGTTCCCTCCTGAGGTGGAGGGGTTGGCAAAAGGAGTACAAGGGCATTGACCCGCAGAGGGTCACTTGCCTTGGCCCCACCCTGACAAAGACACAGGCTGACTCATCTGCCTCAACCATGTGACCGGAATACTCTCTGGGTCATTCATCTCTAGCCTGGTGAGAGGCCTTGAGCTTAACTGTCCCGAGGCCTGAACTTTAGACTTCACCAGAGCAGGTAACAGGGCACTGAAGATGTTCTCTGAAACTTCTCCAGGACAGAACTGAGGGAGGCAGGAAAAGGGGAATGAAGAGCGAGAGGGAGTCAGGAAAGGAAGGCGGCTGGGCTGACACTCTTTCTGTAGCAGGGGCTGGGAGGCCCGGGGGAGACTGGCTGATTCTTAGGTTGGATGACAATGGAGAGAGAAATGACGGGGTGTTGGTGAGAGGGAAGGCTTTAGCTCTGAGGGGGTACACTGCTGCCCCACCCAGAGTCCCTAGGTGGCCATCTTCCAGACAGCGTGACTCACGGATTAGTGGAGGGCAATGATGGCCTGACTCAAGGCCAGCCCATCCCTAGCTAAGGTATGGCCAGAGAAGATGACCTGGACCAGCCAATCAGATTCTTCTCTTGCTAATTTTAGATAGCTTGCTGTCAAACACTGAATTTGGGGCCCAAGAGGAATGAATCATTCTTCATTTCATTGTTTTGGCTTAATTATTCTCACCAAATTATATGATCACATGATAGGACGCCTGTCACTTCAATTTTGACTCTCTCAGTGTAAGGACCATTTCTGAGAAAAAAAACCCAGAAATTTCATCAGTTTTCCTCAAGGGTCCTCAATCATTTGATATTTAAAGGCCATTCTCTCTTTTTTTTTTTAAAAAAAAAAGTCTTATTGAGATTTAAAAAAAAGTCTTATTGAGATAAAATTCACATAACATAAAACACACATTTTTAGTTATGGTAAAGTATGTAATTCAGTGGGTTTTAGTGTATTTGTAATGTTGTGCAACTATCACCATTAATCTAATTGCAGAATATTTCCACCAGTCCAGAAAGAAACCTCCTACTTCCCAATTCTTCCTTCTTCCCATCCCCCTGGCAACCACTCGTCTATTTCCTCTCTCTATTGATTTGGTCTGATTCCGGACACTTACCTAAATAGACACTTATCATATAATACGTGGTGTTTCGTGCCTGACTTTTTTTATTTGGCATGTTTTCAAGGCTTGTCTGTGTTGCAGCATATACCAATACTTTACTCCTTCTTATGGCTGAATAATATTCCATTGTGTGGATATGCTGTATTTTGTTTATCCATTCTTCAGTTATAGACATTTAGGTTGTTTCCATTTTTTGGCTGTTATGAATAAGACTGCTACTTTTCCTGAACTCATTTACTAGCTCCGGTTGTGTGTGTGTGTGTGTGTGTGTGTGTATTCTTTAAGGTTAACTATATATAAAATTGTATCATCTGCAAATGGAGATTTGCAGTGTGGATGCTTTTATTGCCTTTTTTTTTTCTTCCAGTATGTTAAATAAAAGTGGCAAAAGCAAGCATACTTGTCTTGTTCCTGATCTTACAGGGAAAGCTTTCAGTCTTTCACCATGAAGTATGATGTTAGCTGTGCGTTTTTCATAAATACCCTTCATTTGAGACAAGTCCTTTCTATTCCTAGCCTGTGGAGTGTTTTAATCATGGAATAGTGTTAGATTTTGCCAAATGCCTTTTAGCATTAAGACAACCACATATTTTCTTTCCTTCTCTCTATTACTGTGGGGGAGTACACTGGCCGATTTGTATACGTTGAATGGCTCTCGGGTTCCTGGGATAAATCCTAGCTGCTCATGGTGTATAATCTTTTTAATATGCTGCTGGATTCAGTTTGCTAGTATTTTGCTGAGGATTTTTGCCTCTATGTTCATAAAGGATATTGGTCTGTAGGGGGTTTTTTGTGATGTCTTCAGCTGGCTTTGGTATCATGGTAATATTGACATCATAGAATGAATTAGGAAGTGTTCTTTCCTCTTCTATGTCTTGAAAGAGTTTGAGGAGGACTGGAGTTCGTTTTTTCATGTCAGAATTTACCAGTGAAGCTATAGGCCTTTTTTTTCTGAAGAGCCTACTAGGTTGTCAACCTTGTTGATTTTCCTTTCTTCAACTTTTAGCTGTTTTAGACTAGCTTCTGATTGGTTGATGACTTTTTGGGTGATTTAAATGGTATTTCAACATCACTTCTATCAACTTCATAAAATTCTGCTTCTTTTGCAAGATTTCAAATCTCCCTTTGTAATAAATTTTCATTGTACCTGCACTTGGCATTGTTCTGCAGTGCAGTTGAGGAAAAGGAAGATGTGAGTTTGACTGAAAGGTGATGTTTGAGTGGGGCCTTATTTCTTATTCATTAGTTAACATTTTCGTGTTATGTTGTTTTGTTTACTACCTAGCATCATAAACTTAGGGATTCAGATAATGACAACTAAGAATGCAAAAAGCCCCAGATCCTAAAACCACCAACATCAAAATATATGGTGCTAAATTCAATAAATAAATAAAACAAAATGTTTGCAACAGACTCTAGAGTTCAGCATGCAGGATGCTTGTTAGGGAATCATTTTGGAATCAATGCCTGCAAAAGCGAAGGAAAGGAAGCAGGACTGAGCAGAGAAGTCAATTTGTGGTAAAGGGCCCAACAACAGCCTCAGCCAACCCAGAGGTCACATAGGGGCCGGATGGCCCTTCAGAATTGTCCTGCATTAGGGCAAAGTGTCTGGGCCTTTCTACTTCATGTTGATCTCTCCTTGAAGGCAAACTGCTATGGAAGGAGGTGGGACATTGGTGAGGTAATTTTCGTGAGGGGAGGCACTCCCCAAAGCTGAAGCCATCTTCTAGAAACTGGGGGATAAGTTCTTCACTCCTGAGGGGGGTCTGGGAAGCCCCTCACAGTGCCACCCACAGATCTTGGCATATATGAAGAAGTCAGAATCTGCTGGGAGAGTGAAAAGAAAGCTTACTCAAAACTAATGCTGGAATCATTGATGATAATGATGTGAGAAAAAGACACATTAGACTTTTACCTTCTATCTTACCCCTACATTAATTTCAGATTAAAGAATTAAATGGAAAAGAAAACAGGAAATGCAGTTAAGTATTCATCAGATAGAAGGAGAGGGGGAAACTTTGAAGTAAGACAAAGTGGTGCTAAGGAAATGATGAATAGATTTGATTACATAGAAACAACAAAAGTTTTACATTAAAAATTGCACAGAAAAGGGGCGCCAGGGTGACTCAGTCAGTTAAGTGTCCAACTCTTGATTTTGGCTCAGGTCATGATCTCGGGGTCATGAGATCGAGCCCCACATCAGGCTCCACGCTCAGCGTGAAGTCGGCTTGAGATCCTCTCTCTCCCTCTGCCCCTCCCACTGCTCCCACACGCTCGCACGTGCTCTCTCTCAAATAAATAATAAATCTTTTTAAAAATTACACACATTATCAAAAGGCAAACAACAAACTGGAAACATATGTTCAAGAAACACAGTCAAAATTTTTAATATAAAAGAGCTCCTGCAAATCAGAAAGAAAAGCCCAATGCTTCTACCAAAAGCAAAATGGGATATCACTTGACACTTATTAAGATGGATATTATTTAAAAAAAAAAGAAAGAAAAGTGTTAGCAAGGATGTGGAGAAATTAGAACCTTATGCATCATTGGGGAAACTAGTATAGCTGCTGTGCACCTCAAAAAGGAAGGATTCTTTTTTTTTAAGATTTTATTTATTTGACAGAGACACAGCGAGAGAGGGAACACAAGCAGGGGGAGTGGGAGAGGGAGAAGCAGGCTTCCCACTGAGCAGGGAGCCCAATGCGGGGCTCTATCCCAAGACCCTGGGATCATGACCTGAGCAGAAGGCAGACGCTCAACGACTGAGCCACTCAGGTGCCCCCAAAAAGGAAGGATTCTGACACCTGCTACAACATACCAACTTTCAGGGCTGCTAAAGGCCAATGATGAACCTGAGGACATTATGCTGAGTGGAAGAAGCCAGACGTAAAAGGGGAGATACTGTGTGAATCCACTTATATGAGGTCCCTAGAATAGACGGCTTTATAGAGACAGAAAGTAGAAAAGTGGTTACTGGGTGCTGGGGGATGGGGGAAGTGAGGAGTTATTGTTTACTGGGTACAGAGTTTCTTTTTTTTTTTTCAGTGTCTACAATCAATTTTATTTTAATATAATCTAAACACATACCATTTAGAAAATACCAAGAAAAATTTATGTACAAGAGTTGATGCTATGGCATTTGGATAAAGCTGGCAAGTTCTTGCTACTAGCATAGCCCAGGAAACACCACCGAGGAAACCTAATATATTGGAATAGATGTTGTGGCGTTTGGCCCACAATTTGATAGCTCTCAGAGTTAACCTGAAGTTGTCAATGTTTGGTACTAGATGTAAAATTTCATCGGTTACCCTGCAACCGTTAAGACTTCTTATGCATCTTATATCTAAATTCTTAAGCAGACTGTCATCTCGTAAGTCCAAGTCTTCTGGAATAGTCTGCAGTGCTAGTCTTGCAAACAAAATATCAATCTCTATCCCATCAAAACACAGTTTGATAACTGGTACAAATGGCTCTTCAACAGCTCTTAAATCTTTTACTTCTTCCTGTAATTTCAACTTATCATAGAATGAGGTGAAAAAGTCACTTTGATCAACATGTCTTGGTGCAACACACAACGCATCAATATCGGCACCTTTTTTATGTACTCCTAATCTGTAAGATCCAAATGTAAAAATTTTTCCTCCAACATTTTCAATTACGGATTGTGGAAGATTCTTGCTTTCACTGATTTCTCGTATCCACTCTTTTACCAGGTTATTTAATTTCTCCAAAATTAAAATTCTGCGCTGCAGTTCCTCTTCCTCTTCAAAAACCCCAAAGGGCTTCGGAGTCTCAATTAGTTTCTGTGTAAGCAGGCAGTCAGTCTCCTTGGGGGCTGCTAAGCTGAGAGGAGAGGTAATGCCATAATGCTTCTGGGGCGGCTGTGTTTGTTGTGATCCCTGCGTTGTAACTGGAAACGGCACCGTCTCCTGCGCCGGCACCGCCCAGTCACTCCCCCCCCCCCCCCCCCCCCCCCCGCCACCACCGCCGCTGCCGCCCTGGGCATGATCCACTGAGGCGGGAGGGAGGGGGTGGCCTGCCTCAGCCCTGGGTCCAACCCCACTCCCGCACCGCTCCCGCCGCTTTAAGCTCTTCTCCTCCTTCCCCTTCGTCCTAACATCGGGTACAGAGTTTCTGTTTGGGATGACGATAAAAGGCCTGAATGGACGGTGGTGACAGTTGCACAACATGGTGAATTTACTTAATACTGCAGAACTGGACACTAAAAAGTGTTTAAAATGGTAAAATTTATGTTATGTATATTTATCACACAAGAAAAAAGAGAAAAATACCCCCAAACTTCCACATTGAGATGTGAGCAAGCAAAAATGTAAAAGGGCAATTCACAAAACAACTACAAGAAAATGACTTCTAGATGTATAAGAATACTTAATTTTTAAAATTAATTAATTATTTTTTATTTAAATTCAATTAACATATAGTGTAATATTAGTTTCAGAGGTAGAGGTCAGTGATTCATCAGTCTTTTTTTTTTAAGATTTTATTTATTTATTTGACAGTGAGAGAGACAGCGAGAGAGGGAACACAAGCAGGGCGAGTGGGAGAGGGAGAGGGAGAAGCAGGCTTCCTGAGGATAAGGGAGCCCGATGCGGGACTCAATCCCAGAACCCTGGGATCATGACCTGAGCTGAAGGCAGACGCTTAATGACTGAGCCACCCAGGCGCCCCTCATCAGTCTTCTATAACACCCAGTGCTCATTCTATCACATGCCCTCTTAAATGCCCATCACCCGGTTGCCCCATCGCCCACCCCCCTCCCCTCCAGCAACCCTCAGTTTGTTTCCTGTGACTAAGAGTTTCTTATGGTTTGTCTCCCTCTCTGATTTTTTCTTATTTTATTTCTCCCTACCTTCCCCTATGGTCCTGCTTTGTTTCTTAAATTCCTCATATCAGTGAGATCATATGATAATTGTCTTTCTCAGATTGACTTATTTTGCTTAATATAATACCCTCTAGGTCCATCCACGTCATTGCAAATAGCAAGATTTCATTTTTTGTTGGCTGAATAGTATTCCATTGTGTATATATATATATATATATATATATATATATATATATATATA